TCCCTGATTTTAGTCCCTAATTTTAGTCTCTGTTCACTGGAACAAACTTTTCTTTTCTTCATGACAAAAAAGCCTATTTAAATGAGTAGATTCATATGTGCTGTCTACAACAGTAATAAAACATTAATAAAGCAAGACATCACCCAGTGAAGGGAAAGAAATGCAATTCTCTCACCCTGGAATGTCCACCCCTCAGTGTGCAGCTTGAATGTAATTCTACATTAGCTACCACCCTGTCTTCTCAGAGGAAAAACAGTATGACAGTAACAGACACTATTCTTTGGACATGGACTGTTTAGTTTTTTATGTGTCAACAAATGATTATTAACACCTACTATTTACCAGGCCATGTATTCCATGTTGGAATTCAAAGATAAATGAAAGCCCCAGATCTGTAAGAGCCCACAATCTTGTGAGAGACCTGTGTAGAAAGCCACACCAAAGTATGTAGCAGGGTCTTCATAAACCAAAGAGAACACAAAGCGGTGACTGACTGGTTTTTGCAAACAACAAAGGGTCTTCTCCTGAAGGGGCCCTTTGGCTGAGTTGAAAGAGGAGCAGTTGCACAGAGTGGGAGAGGATAAACGGACATTTAGGAAGCAGATCGCAGAGAGAAAGAGCCATAGAACACAGATGCCACAAAGGAGTAATCACTTGGTCTCGTCAGGAAACTACAAGCTATGCAGTGTAACTGGCTTTGAGTACCCAGCCAGTGTTTGGAACACATCACCAAGAGATGAAGTGTTTGGGGTGACACTGTGGAACCTCAGTTATACTAGTTTGCCAAAGCTGTTATATTTCCATGAATTTTGTGAACTGGTTGATATCACATACCTTGAAATCTATCCAGTTAGGAATATTTACAACACTGAAATTATCATAATCACTACTCTACTTAATTACCACCAATCCTGCCCCCTTCCTAATCCTGGAGTGCAGAGCGTTTGATTTCTTTTTTCACATAAAAGTGAGATTAAAAATGCATCGTTTATGGCTAATCTATTTTTTTTAAAAAGCATCCAAAATAATATAGAGCAGGGAAATGTGAGAAATCAGTTGGAAGGCCAGAGTTTAGGTAATTAATAAGGACTTGATCAAAGGAATGGAAAGAAATGTGTTTACAAAAGGCTCAACAAGGGTAGACAGAACCCAGTAATAGCTCTGGGGTTTACAGAGCTAAAGGTAGAAATAAGGGCGATGAGTTAAAAGGCAAATAGTGGAAAATAGACATTTTTATATGAGGGCAGTAAAATTATCTTCTATTAATCTCTCCCCCCGCCTTTACTTCTACCCTGCTTATATAAATGTTTATAAGACTATCGGGGACCACCCAAAAGCAGATAGCATGATCAAATGCTGAGAAAGGTTTTGAACCATAAAGGATGTAAATGGGGACCCAGGGCTCACACAACAGCCTTGGAGTTAAAAATACAAAATAGCTACAAACACAACCTAGTAACAAGGATTAGCCTCTTGGAACCTTTTTCTTTTAGTGGTAAGAGTCAAACCTCTTACCAGGAGTTGTGTACAACTGAGCTCAGATACTGACCAGCCAGGCCTGGAACTCTGCAAGTCTGAAGTCCTTATTTACATAGAGGACCTGGGGCCAGGGATTTAGCTCAGTGGTTCTGCCATCTGCCTTGAAAGCACAAGGTCCTGAGTTTGATCCCCGGTACTAAAAAACAAACCAAAACATAGAGGACCTGAATGAGAGCTTCTGGTGGGAATATTTTCTATATTAACCACCTCTTTCTTTTGCCCAGAGAACGGCTGGTCTAACCTTTGTCAGAGTGAAGCTCTCTTCTGGCTTGTGCTCGAATAAAAAGTCTGTTTTTCTTCTAGGTCCAGTCACATTTCTACATTTCTGGACCCAAGAACCTGGCTCCAGTAACATTTACACACCGCCTACATTTTCTTAGCATGGGTTTTCTTCTTCAGCCCTGTAGTATGGCTTCCATTACAGTGTCAATGTTACAACCTCTCACCTTGAAGATCCCTTCTTCAGTAGGTTCATTAACCTTTCAATTCCACGCTAACTTTAAAATGAATGTAGCTTTTACGGAATTATTTGGATTCATAAATACTTGTTACAATGCTGTTCTTCCTACTATCAACAGGATTGGGGTGAGATGCACAGCTGTATATTACAGGAACAATATAAAGATTGATATTAAAAGAGATCTTTGAATTCCATTGAAGAGATCATACAATGGGAAGAATTAGGCCTATTTATTTGTTGTATCATACACTAATAAGTATATATTCCAAATGCATAAGCCATCATTCTTATTTGTTACTTACAAATTATGCTATGGACTTGAAATTTCTCTGCATTTTATAAAGGATGCAGGAAAATGTCACCCTTTATGTTTTTTCTTCTTTATTCTAACACAATTCTAATAATTTGACAACTATTTTATAAGTGCACAGTACAAGGCTAACTCAGCAGGCTCAGGCTGTTTAAGCCCTACAGATTTCAAAGAAAAGCCTCTCTTTGGGACTGGCCCTTGAGCAGCTCCTGGGAAGTGACCACTATCCAGTTCAATAAAAATGTGTTAATATGTCTAAAGCCTTAGGATACATTGTACTAGCTTGATGATTGAGTTTATATTAACAATTGACTTGAGCTAAATGTATGTCTTTTAGTTTTATTTTTTGGCTCTACTGGGGATTGAATCCAGGACTTTTATACTGAGCCATAGCTCCAAAGCCCCTCCCTGTTTTTTAAAAAATTTGAGGCAAGGTCTCGATATGTTGTTGGGCTCCCACTTACAACCCTCCTGCCTCAGCCTGCCAGAGTGCTGGGATTACAGGCATGTACGACTATGCCCAGATGAATGCATGTTTTTGAGGCTCTGGGCCATGAGATATCATTAAATTTCTGGAGGGTTTGAGACTGAGTTCCTAAGGTCTGTCACATGGGGTGCTGCATGCCTGTGTCACTGAGTTCCAGGGAAAACTCTGGAGATCAAGGATAGGGCAAGCTTCCCTGGTTGGTAATACTTTGCATGTGTGGCCACACATTGTGTCTGGGAGAATTAAGTGCATCCTCATGTGACACCAGTGGGAAACATTTGGAAGCTTGTGCGTAATTTCTCCTGAACTTTGTCCATGCTCTTTCCTTTGCTGATTTTATTTTGTCTTTCACTGTTAACAAACTGTAGCCATGAGTATTACAGCTTCTCTGAGGTTTGTAGTCCTGGCAAATCATCAGAACTGAGAGTGGCCTTGGAGACTCCTGACACAGCAAGGTAGGGATCAAATTTGTTTTCTCTCAATGGGTACTCATTATGGTTTAGATCTAAAAATGTCCCCCAAAAGTCACATTTATTCAGAGATGGGGCTCCTGGAAAGTGATTGGATCATTGTGATACTATACTTATTTATGAGTTCCTAGATCAGTGGTGGCAAACCTATGGCACACATGCCACAGCAGGCATGCAGAGCCCTATCGGCATGCAAACCAAGTTGCCCCAGCAGCCAAGCACTGGATATTCACGTTTAATTGCAGTGTTGGCACTTTGTGATAAATAAGTGGGTTTTGGGCACTCGGTCTCTGAAAGGTTCACTATCACTGTCCTAGGTAGCTGTGCTGGAGGAGGAGGGGTCTGGCTGGAGGTGGTTCACTGGGGTGTGACCTGAAAGGGTCTATTTTTTTTTTTTTTTCTTTTTGGGACAGGGACTCATTGTGTAGTTCACTGTCTATGTAGCCCAGGCTGGCCTTGAATTTGCAACAATTCTCTGGCTGCAGCCTTGAATGCTGGGATTACAAGCATGGGCTGAAAAGCTCTCTTATCCTTGTCTCCTCCCTTCTCTCTTTGCTTCCTGGCTGCCAGTTCGATTAACTGCCCTCTATGAGGCCCTTCTCACTCTTCCTATTTTGCCTTAGAGCCAGCTGACCAAGGTACTGAATCCTCTGAAACTGTGAACCAAACATGAGCCAAAATAAACCTCATCTCCTTTAAGTTGCAGGTGTTGTCCCAGCAACTAGGAAGTGACTAATACTATAATATCATGCAAGGGCCACTTGTTGAATAGTCAATGTTTTTCATACTGAGTTATTTAAAACATCTATCCCTATGCCCATAACACTCTATTAATTACTATAGCTTTATAATAGGTATTGAAATCTAAGAGAGCCTGTTTTACCCTATTATTGGGCCTTTGTTTTTCTTTATAAAATGTTAGGTCTATTTACCAACTTGTAAGAAAATCCATGAAGGGTTTTGTTTTGCATTTTATTAAACTTATAGAGTAATTTTTGGGAAATGATTCTGGATAGTCATTATTCCTATTCATGAACAGGATTACTCTTCATTTACTTAGATCCATTATTTTTCATCCAATAATATTTTGTAGTTCCTAAACACTTGCACATTTTTTATAGATTTTCTCCTCAGAGTTATCTTTGAGATTTTTGTCATGATGAATGATATTATTTTAGTTTTCAATTGGATATTATTTTATAGGTTTTACACATTGATCTTATAGGCCTAGCTTTTTTGAACCTTTTATTAAACCCACACTTTTTGAAAAATGTAGGCAAGTGAGTCAAAATAAACTTTTTTTAAAAAAAAGTAGGCAAACACAACATCTGGCAATATGAAAAGCTTTATTTTTTACTTCTCTCCAGTTTTTATTCATCTTATTAAATTTACTATTAAATTTTTAATGCAGGAGTTCACATCATCACTGAAACTTATTATCACAGATTGTTTTATTTTTGTGACTACGATGGGAATTTATCTCTGTAGTTTTATGCTTCATTTCCATATTATTAATGTGGTTGAGAATATTTTCACATTTCTTAGTCATCTAGATTTCCTTTCATATGAAATACCATTTAAAGGGGCTGGGGATGTAGCTTAGTGGTGTAATGCCTTCCTGTCATGTGAAAGGTCCTGAGTTCAAGTCCCAGTACCGAAAAAGAAAAGAAATAACATTTAAAGTCTTTTGTTCAAATTTTGATGGGCTATGTTTTCCTGATTCATAAGAATCAATTTAATATTTCAGATACTGACCAGTTATAAGTGTTGCAAATATGTTCTTCTCAATAGTTCTTTATATTTTGATCCTCTAAATAAGTAAGATTATGAGCATGAATTACTATTCCTGTTAGTTTGACTGTACTTTCTAAAAATGCTCCAAATAAAAGTTATAATAAAAAGAAAATGGGTTGGATATATTAAACAAAAAGATAGTAAAAAAGTAGAGAATTTTGGGCAGAGAAAGCAAGAATAAAAGCATCATAAAATGAAATGAGACAGTAGAAAAGTAAGGAAACTATCTCTATTGGCTAACAGGTCAATTAAAATTTTAAAACTTTATTACAAGTTATTATTAAATATCACTACATGATAGCATTCAATTAAATGCATCACCTAAACAAAACTAATTTAGTATTTACTCTAATGCTGAAAATAGTAAAAATAAACTTCAAGCAATTTAGAGTTAAATACAATGCTACCTAGTTTTCAATATACTAAATTTCATTGAATTTAATTTTGTACAGAATCTACATAAGTAAAGCACACACTCAATAACTATCATTCTACAATTTTGGATCTGTCATGTGTATTAAGAACATCAGGTATGAGATATTCTTGCTGACAAGAATTAGCCCAATTTTAAACAATCTAGTAATTAAAAGTCAAGTTTATTAGCTGTGTGCGGTGGGGCATCCTCATAATCCCAACTACTCAGGAGTCTGAGGCAGGAAGATTGAAAGTTTGAGACCAGCCTGGGTAACTTAGCAAGTCCTTGTTTCAAAATAAATGAGTAAATAAACAGGCCTGAGGATGCATGTAGCTCAGAGGTAGAGTGCTTGCCTCGCACACGTGAGGTCCTGGGTTCAAATCACAGCACAAGAATAAAAACAGTCAAATTACCAGTTTGACCAAAAGGTTTTACAAGATTCTAATCAGTCTCTCCCTCAAATATTACTTCCTTGTATAGGCAAATAACAAGCTAAAATATGAAAAATAGGAAAAGAAAAAAATAAAAAAAAAGATTCAGTTCCGTAAAATAGTAACGAAAATGATTTCCATCTTTATGTTCCAATTAAATCTTTTTTTTTTTTTTTTTTTGGTACGGGAGATCGAACTCAGGACCTTGTGCTTATGAGGCAGGCGCGATGCCACTGAGCTAAATCCCTGGCTCTAAATCATATTTTTTACTAAGAATACATTGACAGCACAAAAGTCTTAAATAACTACTTAATATAAGTACCCTTAAGTGCTTAATATTAATAAAACATTAATTTCACAAATATTAATATTAAATATTCAAATATTATTAATAATATACAAATTTTAATATTAATAAAAATACAACAAAAATGTAACCAATAGAAAGCATTTAATATACATTAATCATTTGAATTGCACATTTTTTCCTTGAAGATTAGAATGGAAATAAAGTATGCATTTTTTCTTGTTTCACAGACCTATGAAAAGTACAAATACAACTGTCACAGAATGAAACAATGTTGTTAAAAGTCCTATATTTAAAAAGAAAACACTTTCTGGATCGGGAATTTAGCTCAGTTGTGCTGCCGCCTGCCTCCCAGGGACAGGGTCCCGAGTTTGATGCCCAATACCAAAAAAAAAAAACCCACACTTTCAATCTTAGACTAAAATAATTTTAAAAAGTGAACCAAGTGCTTATTGATAAGATAAAGGAATTTTAAATAAGAAAAACAAAATGAGTATAACAATATTCTAAGCAAAAATCCTTCTACCACCGATAACACTGTGACATTATTTTCCTGCAGGTACAAACCACTCATGCTAGTTCTGTTACATTAATATTCTTCACAGAACCTATGATGAGTTTTAATTATGAATGTTCATGAAATATCTGAAGACACAGGACCAAATATACCAGGTCCAATGTCAACCAAGTGGTTAAACACTGAAAAAATTTTATGCTAACATAGGCTTGTGTGAACACCTGAGAGCCCTTATAAATGTGTTTATATTAACTGTAATAAGGAAATCACATTCTGATCCCATTTATTTTCTTTTAAAAATTATGTCTAACAAGATTGATTTGCAATTGATGTATGATGGAAATAAAATTCTCATGGTTATAAATAGATGGTATAAAGAAGTGAATTCATGTATATTTCAAATTCTTAGAAAAGAAAATGTCATTTGGGGAGGGATTATGTAGTTGCTTTCCTTAAATAAATCTACAAACTTAAAAGGAAAAAGAATAAATTCATTGATTAAAAAAATAACAAGTTTCAATGAAAAATGATTGAAACAATGTTCAATGTTCATTTAAAAAATATATCAAGGGTATGTCTGGGATTGTTTGGTTTTATTTTCTTTGATGTTGAGTACTTTGTCATCAGTCCTGGCCTGGAAAGAAAAAGAACACACAATTAAAATGCAGGAAGACATTTTAAAAAATAATTTTTCAAATAATTGATTTTTAAAATGTTACCTGACGATTTATAAAAGCAAAATTTAACATCTCCTAAAAATGAGACCCCAAAACATGCTAGTTTCATAGTTAGCATTACAAAAGATACCTACCTTTTTGTTTTTGCTACAGTCTTCTGTACTTTGTTTGACATACCTTTGGAGGTAAGAAACCAAGAAATTCTATAAGCAACATGAAATAACTGAAGAGCTTTATACAAATTTAAAAAGTTAAAACTTATTAAAAATTTCCTTGGTACTATACAGTTCATATTTATACATACTAGATATTGACTTTATAGTATAATTCCTTTTCTTTACTAGTTTTACCAGTATCCACTTCGTTTTATTTTTGGAATATGACCAAGTCATCACTCCCAAAAAACAAATTAGAGAAGCTCTCTAGTTCTGTAAATACAATTAATTTGCCACAGAGTCTTGGTAAATGTTCTCTGAAGAATTTGTTCTTTGATTATTAGATCACTCAGCTCCTTTAACCTGTGAACTCATTCTGTGGTAAATTAAACCCAAACTGGAAGTTTTCCTTACATTCTCAAAAGCTGTTGGCTTCAGTTAATGATAACTTATTGCTAGGCAATTAACATTTTCCTAAATAGCAGCATATACAAACTATCCTCTTAATAGTATGTATCTCAGATTTAATAATCTCATTATTTTTAATAAAATATAATTCTTAGAAAAATCATGTTTTTAATGACTACAAACTCACCAGTACTTTTGGAGCTTTCTTCGGGTTCGTTGATTGTATTAACGCTATCATTTCTCAGTTCTTGGATAATACCTTTATTTAAGCAAACATCCACGTGCTCATTGAATAGGGTAAGATCTGAGGTCTTTTGTTCTAGACTACAAACAGGACAAACCAGAGCTTGGCCAGCTGTCACTTTAAATGACAAAGGTTGGAGGGATTCTTGCCTACTTAATAACCCAACGTCTGCATTTTCCAATGAAACAGTACAAGAAGACTTGCTTGGAAGACTAGAATGCTCCTCTTTGCTGTGCTTTCTCCTTAGAGAGTCTATACTTCTAGCTTTCAGTGAGCTATCTTTAGGCTCTACCAAATCGACACAATCTTCTGAAGTGACTTCTATATTTTTCTGACGGGCCTCATAATCTTGCTTTTCCCAAAGTGAAAAGGAATGATGTGTGTTTTCTTTCTGGTTAACAGCAGAGGTAGCCTGTGAACAAGTGGACACTTTACAGTTCTCACTGACTGAAGGGCAATCGAGACATGCATCTACATGTTTATTAAAGGCCTCCAGACTGATGCTTCCTTGCTCCCTAAAGCAAACAGGACACGTAAATATCATCTGACAGCTATTTGAACTCTCTGATGTTTCTAAATTCTCACTCGTCTTCTTCTTTATAATTTGGAATGGCTGTGATGTCTGTAAATTTTGTTTATCCACAGTTTCACATTTTGATGTGTCTTGGTGGCTCCATTTTGTTTCTGATTGTTTTTTATCAAAAAAACTCTTCTTATGAGATGTTTTTAGAGGTTTTACAAACTGATCTTTATCAGTTCTCTCTTCTATATACTCAGTGGCTGATGGAGCTTGGTTCCCAGCCTGTAAGAAGCCAATGATGCTCCTTTGTTGGTGTTTTTTGTCTTCTTCATTGGGAAAACTAGATATCCGAACACCTAAATAAAACCAATTATAATTAATCAGTTGTAAATTTAACAAAGCCAATTCACTCCTCATGAATAAAAACATTTTATATAATACTGTTTTGACGTCTATACAAAAAGCTGGTTAGGGAGAATAAGCCAACACTAAAGACAGATACAGATTTCTTTTTTTCATTGCCATGCTGGGGCTCAAACTAGGGCATCGTGCATGCTAGGCATGAACTCTACAATCAGTTATACCTCCAGTCCAATATTTTCTTAATTAAAAGATGCTTTTAGCCGGGTGTGGTAGTGTAAGTCTATAATCCCAGCACTCTAGGAGGGTGAGGCAGGAGGCTCACAGTCTGAACACTGCCTGGGTAATTTAGCAACTTATCAAGAGCCTGTCTCAAAATTAAAAAGGCTGAGGATGTAGCTCAGTCTGAAGGCCCTGGGTTCAATCCCCTGTATTGGAGTAGAGCAGGGAGAGGGCTTTTTCAAAGTTCATTTTATGAGTAGAAATTTGCTTTCCTTTATAAAACTGGGTATCATTAAATATCAACATTCTACTAGAGTTGGCATGGTTACATAAGACTCTGAATACAAAATAACTAACTGGAATCAGGTACAGACTCTTCAGCTTTTTTAAAAAATAGACTTTTGTTTTTTAAAGAGCAGTTGTAGGTTTACACCAAAACTGAGCAGACAGTACAGATAATTTCCAAATTTGCTCTGCCTCCATACATGCACAGCTTCCCCTACTTTCAACATCCTGCACCAAAATGGCACATTTGTCACAATGGGTGAACCTACACTCACATCACACTGATACCCCAAAACCACAGTGTACAGCAGAGTTCCCTCTTACACATTCCTGGGGTTTAGACAAATTTATGACATGTATTCACCATTATAGAATTATACAGAATAATTTCACTGCCTAAAAATCTGCTGTGTCTGCTTACTCCTTCCTTCTCTCCAACTCAAACAACCCGTCTTTCTTGTTTGTTTGTTTTTTGGTTTTTGAGACAGGGTCTTGCTATGTAGTTCAAGCTGACTTTAAAGTCACAATGTAGCCCAGGCTGGCCTTGAACCTGTAGTAGTTTTCCTGCCTCAGCTTCCCAAGCGCTGGGATTATAGGTGTGTGCCACCACACCCAGAACCTGATATTTTTATTGTCTCCATTTTTTTTGTCTTTTTCAGAATGGCTTACAAGTGGTACCTCAGTTCACGAACTCAATTTCTCTCCATAAACTGGATGAGAACTGAATCAAATTTTCTCATAAGGTCAACACAACCTAACTATTGAATTTGGTTTGGTTCTCATCCAACTCAGTTTACAACCAGAATAATAAAAAGAACAGAGTTTCTGAACTGAGGTTCCACTGTAGTTGGAATCATATAGATGTAGCCTTTTCAGATAGGCTTCTTTCCTTTAACAATATGCATTTAAGTTTCCTCTATGGCTTGATAGCTCATTTATTTGATATGCTGAATATTATTCTGTTGTCTAGATGTACTATAGTTTATCCATTCACTGAAGCATATCATGGTTGCTTCCAAGTTTCTACAAATACTTGCCTTTGTCTCTTTTAATTAACACTTTATTCAATTGATTTCACTGTATGCTATCTTTCATGTATGAAAGTATGAGTAACGACCAAATCTTAGCAGTAAAGAAGGCATCTGGAGTGCTTATCTACAGAATATACATTCTCTCACACAGTCCATTTCAGAAAAATGGCTTATTTATTTTTATCATGTAGTGGCTAGAGATGTGATTTCCCAGTGTCACAATCTTCTATCTGTAATTCTGAAAATTGTAAGCAACAAGTTATAAACGATGAATGAATAAATGTGACACTATTTAGAGTCTTTTTTTTTTTTTTTTTTTGGGACCAGGGATCAAACTTGGGCCCTTGCACTTTTGAGGTAGGCGCCAGAACCACTGAGCTAAATCCCTGGCACTGACACTATTTAGAGTCTTTACAGTCTGACTTTTTTTGTTTTTCTAGAGAAATATTAATGTTTTTGATCAGGAAGTACTGATCCAGATTCCCAGATTACATGTTTTCTGAAACGTGAAAAATTTTGAATTTTGAAACATATCTTGCCTCAAAGGTACTCGCTTTGGCAGCACATATACTAAAATATCTTACCTCAACGGTTTCAGTGCATAACAAGAGGAAAAGAACAACTTTAATTGGTTTATATCAGAAATAAATTAATGATCTGCTTCACATGCGTCATTCTAAGAATTAAGACAAATGGTAGCAGCACAGCAAAAACTTAGCAAACAAGTTTAAGGAGTAAAATTGTGGTTAGAATGTTTCCAAAGCTAAGTCTTTGGGAAAAATCTAACAGACTTAAGGAAAAACAAGAAAAGAAAAATCATACCCATAAGTCTTAATCTTAAGGGATATGGAAAATCAGCATCAATTTCTGTTCTTAGCAATTCTTTTGCAATGGCAAATATTTCTTCTGTGGTAGAAACAACAGATGAAACTGTAGATGCACGAGTTTTTACTTCAAAATTCACATTCTTCAGTTTAACGGTAACAGTTCGACCCTGTAACATACAAGATACATCATTACATAACACTTTCTAACTTCTAGAAAAGTTACTTATAGATTAGAAAAATTCAAGGTCTTTATGTGCATATAAGAATATGGAAATATCAATTATTTATAAAACATGGTAATGAAAACTGTCATAAAGAATAATTAAAGTCCATAAGTAATGTTAAAACCCTCTTTTTAGCCAATTATTATTACCCTCCCCAACCAAATATAAAGGTATAAATGTCTTTATATAAAGGGCAATGTTAACTGATTGTTTTCTTTTTATTGAATCTGTTTTAGAGGTTAATTCAGTATCTAAAAAGGCAGGAAAAGAAAAATCTTTCTAAAGGTGCCTCTTTGAAAAGGTCTTATGGATAGCTCAACTTGTTGTGTGCCTACTACATCCAGACACTATGCTCAACAATTTATCTGTAAGAGCTCCCTATCCAGTCAGGGTCTTGAGGGTATAGAGTCTCAGCTGCAAATGATAAAAAAGTTTCAGAGATAGATGGTGGTGATAGTCGCTGTACTTAACGCCACTGAACCATACATTTACAGATGGCTAAAATGGTAAATTCTATATTATATACATTTTAGTAGCACCTGGAGGTAGAATTTAATTTTTTTTTGGTACCGGGGATTGAACTCGGGACCTTGCTGGAGGTAGAATTTAATTCCTACCTTCCATCACTTGGGTTAGACTTACTAACTCATTTCCAAAGGAAAAAAATCAGTAACTTCACAATGGAGAAGTCTAGCAAACACTACCTTAACCTAGTGATAAGAGTAACGTCACTCACAATGGGACTGTCACACATTTTCTGACAATATATGATGAGAAAGTCACTTGAACTTTGTGGTATTCTTTCTAAAAGTCTATCACCCTGTTCTAATTGTGAGAAAACCACAGACAAGCCTAGACCAAGGAACATTCTATAGATTATCTGGCCAGTACTCAATACTGTCAAAGTCATGAAAAAGAAGAAAAGAATAGAAAACTGTCACAGACCAGAGACAACTAGGGAGACATGACAACTAAATGGGTTGAACCCTGGGGAACAGAGAGAGGTAATTAATAGAAAAACAAGTAAAATCCAAAAGGAGCCTGAATTTTAGTTAACAAAAATGCATATAACATCACTTTCTTTTGACGATGTACTAAACGTTAATAATTGAGGAAATTGGGTGAGGGGTATACTGGAAATCTCTATTCTTTTTGTAACTTTTCTGTAAATCTATGATTCTATAATTAAAAGTTTATTTAAATATTTTAAAGAACTCTTTATACTTGAGGTATGACAAAGAGTGTAAGAAAAATGTTCATCAGATATCCCAATTTTTTGTAACAAAATTTTAATGCTTTTGTATTATACTTTGTAATAACACCACCTCTGATTTGGGAGTGTTGGGAAGTATGTACTAAACATGGACTGCTGTGAGGGAAGATTATCAAACAGAAAGTGGAAAGCACTCCAGGCTTTCATTCTCAATGTGTTCAGCCACCTGGATTAAAGCCCTGAAACAAAATACCTATTCTAGAAGCTCATTATCTACATGAGAAAAACATGATAGGATGGTTGGGAGGAAATCTTTAAAATATGAGTACAGTTCTAGGGAAATCTTTCTCTGCCTTTTTCTCTGATGCCAATATAACTGATTCTGCACCTATTCAAACACACACATTTTTGAAAACTAAGAGAATACCTTTAGTCCTTCTTTCTGGAGATCTTGGGCAAGTTCCCTGCAAAGTTCCTGGCACAAATCGTACTGTTCTTCTGCTTTGTTTATCTCATTAAATGTCCTACAGAGACAAGAATGATTTTACTGCACAAAGAAAACTGTAACTCAGAACACTCTGGGAACAATATGGTACATTTAAATAGTCATTCAGATATACTTTCTGCAACACAAAATAAATTTTCAGATGAACTGAGAGATAATTTTTAAATGTATGGTTTACATAGAAAATAGAAAACAATTTGGATAGGTTAACTGATCAGTAAAGGAGAAATTTTATGCTGCTGCTCTCTCTCCATAATATTTTTTTAAATGATTAAAGTCACCAATACATAGCCCTAACACCCCTAGAACTTATAACACTTAAGGTATATATTTATATAAATTCTGGTACAGAAGACTATCTTAGGAAAGTAACAAATGAGAACGCCATTTCAATTACTGCACATGTTTCTTAGTGCAGAAATATCTTCAAGTAGATTTAAGGTGTTGGTTCACAGTATGTAGGCAGCGTTGTCTAATAGACAGCTGGAAATAGAGGGCTGGTAAAAATGTAGCAACTTTGAATTCATCTTCAAAGGAATGTTGAAAGAAGTAGAGAGGATATTAAGATTAGGGAGGAAGACACTAAAGAGAGATCAGAGTGACTAGTACCGTGAAGTGTCCCTTCTAACCTTATCTGCAGTTTTTCTGTTCGCCCTAGTGGCAACCAATGTTGCCAGCTTTTTTTCTAAGTTGATAATCTCTATTTCACAAAAATACACAGATACAATTAACACAAGAATCCACACGTTCTACGGTTTCTAAATATTTACCCACTAATTGTTTTTGCGAGAGGCTGTTGTCCTTCATGGTTCACAGAAGGTTTAGATGCTTGACATTTGGTTTGGTTTTTTTTCGGTACTGGGGATCGAACTCGGGTCCTTGCATTTGAGCAGCAGGCAGCAAAACCACTGAGCTAAGTCCCCGGCCGATGCTTGATATTTGTGACAGCCCAACTTTTCTTCCTTTCTATCCAGCAAGTTAGTTTTTCAGAAGTCTTGCTGGATGTTTTCTTTGTTTGCCTCCCCAGTGTGAGGCATTAAGAGGGTTGAAAACATCTGACTTTGAGAATGATTAGAGTTAGACAAGATCATCAGGGTGGAGCCTCCAGGGTTGAATTCTGGTGGCTTTATAAGGAGAGGGAGAGGGGCCAGAACAGACACATGTGTGCTCCCCGCATTTTGCCCTGTATTGGCCAGCACTGCCCTGGAGCACTTAGGCTATCAGTAGATGTGAACCCTCATACTTTCACCCCAAGGGTAACGGACCCTTTTTTCTTTGTAAAGAAAAAAACCTTCAGCCATTTGGCTACAGGAATAGACAGGAAGAACTCAGGACCTTGAGCTTAAGAGGCAGGTGGCAGAACCACTGAGCTAAATCCTGGGCCCCCAAGGGTCTTTATTAGAAGAAAGCAAGAGCTCAGAGTTAGAGAAAGAGAAGATGCTGGCTGGAGCTCTGGGGCAATGCAAGTAATCTTCAGAAGCCCTTGGTAAAGAAATGAATTCTTGCCTAGAGCCTGTAGAAGGAATGCAGCCTGGCGGACAACTTGATTTTAGGATTTCTGACCTTCAGAATGTAAGAGAATAAATTCTTGTTGTTTTAAACCACTAAATTTGTAGTAATTTGTTACAACAGCAATAAGAAAGTAATACATGCCTGTGCCGCTACCATTGTTTTGCCAAAAGAGTATGCTAAACTTCATCAGTGAATAATGCTACCTCAAGGAGCTTTTGATATTTTTTTTTCATCACAAATGAAAAGGGAAATATTTCTACGTATTTTAAGGGCCATTTTAATTTCCTGTTCTGTTAGCTAATTAGATCTTTGTTCATTTTTTCCTACTAATACAGTGGGTGCTTTCTTATTGATTATGAGTTCTTTACATATTAGAGTAGGGTTTTTTCCTTACCGGGGATTGAACCCACCCATAGAAGACAGCTCTTTGTGTGTGATTATGAATTGCATCCTCTTTCTCTTCTATTCCATATCAAAATTCATGAAAGTGGAAAATATATTCTTGTATGTCTAATAGTCATTGTTATGGCTTGTGTTTAGATGTCCTCCCAAAGCCTTAGCAGTCACAGGTGGGGCTTTTTCTGGAATTGATTCATGGTGCAATGCTAGGGCCAAGGGCACTAGGACTAAGAGTGTGAGTGCTACCCACCCTAAGTAGTCTGCATAAGATAGAAGGGGCAGGGCTCCTCTTTCCTCCCTAGCTTTTGCTGTCTTCCGCGCCATGAACTGTTGCTTCTCTGCCACCCTGCCTCGGAGCCAGCCGATTATGGACTGAAACCTCTACAAACCATGAGCTAAATAAACCTTTCCTCTTTTAACTTTGGATGTCAGGTATTTTGTCTCAGCAATGAGAAAAGCAACTAACACAGTGTTCTTAGTAATAAAACATAAAAATAGAACAAAAATTCATTAAATTGGACAATACTATCTTCCTTCAGATGAGTCTTTCCAGTCTCTTTCTCTGATTGCTTTTATGTCACTGCCTAAACCAGCGATTTTTATCAAGCCATTTATTGTGTTGTCTTATAAAAGTCATTCAGCTTTTCTGATCACAAATAATAAATATGAACACAACCTTCCACTAGGTCAGTAGTTCTTCAGTGTCTTATGGGACTTTGCTGCTTTGAAGAAATAATTGAGGGGCTTTTCAAAAATAATAGCTTTCTGGGCCAGGGATTTAGTTCAGTGGTTCAGGTGCCTACCTTGAAAGTGCAATGTCCCAAGTTTGATCCCCCGGTACCAAAAAAAAAAAAAAAAAAATAGCTTTCCTCAAACAAAATTCCATCATGTTCTCATTTGATTTCCAACAAACATTGTAAGTAGATGATCTCTAAACTAAATGATCTCTAAGCTGTCTTTTACCAATAATATTCTTTAATTTCAGTGACACTTTTGCAAAAATTAATCTAAAAATTAGTTCAAACTAGCATTAATTATGAACAATTAAAAATAACACAGCATTACCTCTCAACACTCATACTTTTCCTTTCTCCATCCCTTGAAAACAGAACAAAAGAAGTCTTTACTTTCTTTCTCAAAGAAGATTGAGTTACTTTTGGTCAAACAAGAGGATTTAAGATATTATTACCCTTCAGACATCTCAATTTTTTAATTAAAATCTGTAATTTAAAACTATGAGGTTTTTCTTTTCAATCTAAAAATAAAAAGACAGATAAGATGTTAATACGATTACATATGTCATGGATCAAGTCTATATGTATTGAAGAAAACAAATTTAAAAATAGGTAGATGCTATAAGTTGCCTCTATTAAAACTAAGAGACAGTAGTGTAACAGTTTACAGTTATAAGACATAATTAAATTTTAAATAATATCAATTGTCTAGTTTTGTGGCTAGTATATAACTTCTCTCACATATAAGCCAATTCACTATTCATGTACAGTACTCTAAAACCTCAGTCAGAATTTGGAACAGCGCAGTTGGGTGAAGATTAGAAACCTGAACCAACTAGTTTGGCTGTGTCCTAGCTTTTTTGAAAGGGTAACTGCAACCAAAAAGTTGAAATGATAGGTAGATTATTCATTTTCCAAATAGTGAATATACTATGACTTAAACACTGTCCTAGAGCTAGGGGATAGAGGAATGAAAAGACCACATGCCTCCCCTTAAGAGACTTACATCCCAATGGAACAAAACAGATAAAAAAAATATAGAAGTAAATACAGAATGTGTTAGAAGAGAAGTAATGCTCAGATTAAAAAACAAAGCAGAGTTGGAGAGCAGAGACTATGGACTGGGGGAAAGGATGGCCTTCTGTTTTATATTATCACAAATTACATATAAATTTCTCTTAAAAGCCTTACCTGAATCTCTAAGATCAGAACTAACTATATTACTTTCAAGCACTATGGAAATAAAAAAAATAACTTTTAGATTAAAAAAGTTTTGTTTCCTACTTTCCTTAAACACTAGATTATTTAGTGTGCTGTGATGTTTTTATCTTTCAATATATCCATTCAAGATCGAAGTCATATAACTGCACACACAGAAGGAAGCTCCCCGGCCACCATCCCAAGCTCCTAGGGCAAAGAAGGTGAGCCGGTCCCAGAACCTGGAAGGAAGCTCCCCCCGCACCATCCCAAGCTCCCAGGGCAGAGAAGCTGAGCCGGTCCCAGCACCTGGAAGGAAGCTCCCCAGCTGCCATCCCAAGCTCCTGGGGCAGAGAAGGTGAGCCACACGGGTGCCAGAAGCATCCCCCCCCGCCCCCCCGTGGAAATGAGAAGACACGTAAACAAGTCTCAAAAACATACTTCTGGATCAACTACAGCAACCCCAAAGGGAAACGAGATGAAACAATCTGATACTCAACCACCTGGATTCTCTGAACTGGCAATAAAAGAGGATCTGGGAAAAATGAAATTAGAGATAATTTCTCAGATAACAGCAAAGATTTTGCTCATGGTGCAAGACATGATTAATAAATCTAGAGAGGGGCTGGGGATTTAGCTCAGTGGTTTCACCGC